GTAGGAGTGAGCTTCCAGAGGGGGATCAACCCCTTGGATGAGAGATCTCAGTAACTATGCCTAAGACTAGTTGAGAATAAACCCGCAGTTTTTCCACTCCACTACTTCAGGTTTCTTGCAATATCAGGACCAGTGTTATCAAGTTCGGACCAGCCGCCAAACGTGAGAGGGCTTGGTCCAATCAAAACCCATCCAACTAGCGGTCGATTTGCTTGGACCGGATTTTAGAAAAAAAGATAAAAGAAAGATGGATATAATGGTTAAAAATATAGAATATGTTGAAAAAATTGCCCAACTTCATTTAGCTAGGTAGAACCGGTTAAAACCAGTCGGTCTGACATGTCTAAACCGGTCAAATATTAATTTTGACCTGTTTTTTACTAAATCTGGTTTTTACCTTGGACCAGATTGGCAAGGCACCAATCATAGTTTCGGTTCAGTCTTCATAACTATGGTCAAGACATTGTATTATAATTAATGTAACATTGCCTTATTTAAAATAAAGGAAAGGGTACCAAATGGTGAATTGAACCTACAACCACTCGTCCATAAAGCCCAGCCTCCGCCGCTTTGCTACTTTAACTTTGGCATAATATAAGGATATTATATTATCTACGATATTAGCATTATCTTATTCAAGATAAAAATTTGTTTCCCTTGCACAGGTCAGATTTGAATGTGCAACCTCTTGAACAAAAGGTCATCTCAACAACAACCACTTCCACTGTGATATTTTAACCTAGATGCAAGTTAGCAGGAAATTATGTTATATATACCTATTTTATCCAAAATGGTGTTCGCGAGGGATATGTCAGGAGCTTTGACACCCTGATACATACTAAATTCTGACATCCGTTTCAGCATCCCTGTAACACTTTCTAAAAGAAAAGATATTCATTGAAAGATTTTGCACTAACCTGAAATTTCTTGTTAAGAAATTATCTTTAAGAAAATTGCCCAATAGTATTCTCCTTAAAAACTTTGGGGTCACTTTGGAACCTAAAGATGTTGTGCCTTGATGACCATTGCTATCATAATTGCTTTCGAGGCTTCTTTGTTTTGGTCTAAAAAGGGAAGCACTTCTGCATTATAGCCAATCTAGGGGAAGTCTTTACGTATACTTAAAATAATAAAATATAGAAGTTTTACACAATAAGAGAATAATTTTTAGAAATTATGGAATTTATAGAAAATATCACTTTAATAATTTTTATCGATCTCATTTTTTATAATCAAAACACTTTTTGTGCTTAAAATTGTTTAATTTAAATATTGAGATTTTATTCATTTAGAGAGAGAATATGGTTGAATCCCACGTGGGCACAGTCTCCTCTCTCTAAAAGTTCCCACAACAAAGGTATTTCCTCCTCAACAAAGTATTTTAGAATTCTCATTGTAAACACCAACCAAAGCAAAAAAGAAAAATGGAAAGAGAAGGAAATCTCATTCTAGCTGAAAGAAGTCAATATGTTTCTTCAACCCTTGAGCACTGGAAGATTGGTTGGTTGAACTTAGTGGGTGAATTGTTGGTTGGAAATAAGAAACACATTACTAATTTTGGAGCAAAAAGTACTCTAATGTTGTTACTTTCTCCCATTGCGATTGATTTCTTACTGGTTTTTGTTTAGAATTCTAAAGTGATAGATTCCTCAACCTGAGACAGATTCGTCATATGATTCTTGACTACCCAATGGCAATCTACACGAATACTCTATTGTAGGCACTTAATGTATCTGCAAATATTTGTATCGTCATAAGAACTGTCTACTAGTAATTTTCTTATGGTCAGTTTGTTTAAGATATTTTTAGTCATGAGCTTTGACATGCTTGACGTATGTTTTGGTGCTCCCTGTCATTGGATGCTCCTCTATAATGTCTGTTATGAAAAGAGAATGGCCATTGATTAGGAAAATGTTGATGTCACTTCAATTCCAATACATCTTTGTGCTTCAAAATAAAACAAATTCTGTCCATAATTGCAGAACTTTTCTCAGCCAACCAGCAGAAGGAATTGTTGATTACTTAGGATCCTTTCACGTGGGATGCACTGCATTGCCATATTCTCCACATGTATAGATTGATCTTTTTAAATTTGTGGGTGCTCTCAGATGATGACTAACTCAGCCAAGTTAGAGTATAGGATCTTACAGGGTCCAAAAGGCCCAAAAAAATAGCAAAAACAAATATAAAAAAATGTTTAAAAATAAAATAAAAATGGTAAAAGTGAACATAAAAAGTCCAAAAAGCTAAAAACATATATAAGACATGGATTTAGAAAAGAATTGATTTATGGTTGGAGACCTTTTAGAAAAATACAAAAAAAGAGAGGAAAATGTAAAAATAGGCCATATGACGAGAAAAACTCACAGATCATTGTAAAAAAATCCAAATTAACCTATGTAAGTTTTATAAATTGCTTCCAGCATAAGAAATACATTGATTAAACCAATACCTCAAACACCATTCTCTGGGCCTAGAACAACCAACTTGCCAGTCACACCGCCTAGGGAACTAAGCACATATCCAGCTGCCTAGGCAGCCAAATCCATTTTTTTCAACATTGCTTGATCTTATAAAGTGTCACTTCTTTGATAATGTAACTGAAACCCTGAGCAACCAAATCTAAGTTGCTACTTAATGTTCCCTTCCAATGCATTAAATTATTCTTGTGCCATCTTTTTCTTCCCTTGATGAGAAAATTCTTCTGGATGGTGTTAGGCATATGTAGAGGAAAGCATTCAAAGGCCACTTGGGGTTGGGATAAGAGACATACTAGCAATGTTTAGATAATTGGCCAACAATGAAATGTCAAAAGAAAAAGGAAGATGTTCAATGAATTGTGGGAATTCCCTGAATGACAATTCGTGTAGTATATTTGGACTGTTCTTGTCTAACTTTGAGAATACTGCATTCGCTCTTTCATCCTTTGCTAGCCTTTTTCCTGTACTCAAGTCCCAAAACACAGTGCATGGAAAGAGAAGTAATTGGGCAGTCTTTTGATTTGGTCAGATTACCGCCATTAACCAGAAGTCTCAGATAAATTGTGAAACTCAAGGATATGTTTAACAAAAATTTTTGAAGTTATTAATAGAACCAGCATCAATAATGGATGACGAGTTTGTATCAACTAGAGAAGCGAGTCCCTTATAAGCTTGTTGGAGGCCAAGGGGGAAGGGTAATGAAATTGAAGTCTGAAACAAAATTAGAGCATTGAAGTTTTCTGCATTGGTCAAAATCAGTAAATTCTCCACTCTTTGTGCTTGACTACCTGAGGCTTCATAAGTTGGCAGTATTTAGTGATTAGCCGAAGTTGTTCAGAAGTATATTAGAGAAACAAGGACATTTTATTTCCACGATATCCTGGGAGCTTTAATCTTTTTGCCTTGCCTGGGAATCTGGAAAAACTATGGACTGGATCCAACTTAAATGCAAGTTGCAGAAAAAGTATTTTATCTTTGGGTTCCACTTCTACAAGTTTGAACAAGCCAAGCAATTGATATCCAGATTCTTTTTTGATTCAACCTTTTATTTGGCTTTGAAGTATTTAAACCCCATTGTTTTATCACTAATGTTTTTGATTTGATTGCGGTTGACATGTGTTGGATTGGACTGACTTTCATCATTCATATCATTTGCTACAACCACTTCTTCCTTTGAAAAGTAATGGTAAGTTAAACAAACAAGGAATTCCCTCTGCCTACCTAAATTGGAAATAGTCCAACGCTAATAAGTCCCTGAGATTTGGCTTGCTTGTCCTGTCCTGTTTGAATTTATACACTATCTGACTAGTGCTACTTCAAGTAGTGGTGGCAACGGGTCGGATCGGGTCCGGTCTTTGCATGCCAGGTTGGGTCCAGGTCCATTGCCACCCCTAGATACTTGATTCATTAAAGGTTTTGCATTTTTGCTAATGGAAAATGATTCTTTTTATTACTACAATGCCATATAAATTTGTTTTTTTTACAATATTATATGATTTTATTAATGATAAAAGATTACAATGCCATATAAATTGGAATGCTAATATTGTAGGTGGACTATTGTAAACTTAACATGATTGAAGCTGAGACTTACCACTCATACCCATATAAAAGGATACTGTATACAATCAATTGCTGACGATTGTTATTCTTGTTCTCCTATAAACTAACTGAGAAATATGATCAAAAGTTAAAAAAGATATTGTATACAATCAATTGCTGACTATTGTTTTTCTTGATCTCCTATAAACTAACTGAGAATAATTAGGAGAAGTTAAAAGATCTAATATTATCATAAAGTTACTTAGCAGGGAAAATTTAATTTGAACTTGCCCAATGCAAATTTTCTGTTTTTTGATGCTGTTAACATTGTATTGATGGTTAAAAAGAGATGCAACTTGCCCAAGGCTAATTTATTCCTCTCCATCTTTATAGTAGTTGCCCAACAAACTTAGGGAGCCACTACACAATAATATGCCTATGGGCAAAAATGAACCTAGTTTTTACCCTTGACGCCAGCTGATTTTTTCAGATGGCAAGGATTGAAGACCGATACAGACCTAACACGTCCGTGGCAGTGGCAGTCAAATCGTCAAGACCTAACACATCCGTGGCGGTCAAACCGTCAAGACCTAACACACATCCATGACGGTCAAACTGTCACGGACATAGCAAAACCTGGATGGTGCGCAGAGTACATTACGGCCCCGTTCAATAAATAATCACAGATAGCAGTTCAATAAACCACCACAGATAGCGGGGCAAAATACTGTATCAATTCACCTTTAGCTGTTCTTAAGACGTTTCCAAGAACTTATTTCCCTTATTCCGTAACTTGACCACCCTAATCTTACACTCTCATTCTTTACTTTGTTGAATTTGTTATATTTTCTATAGAGAGATTTTATCCATATTTCGGATAGAGAGGCAGTTTATATGGGTTCTTATTCTGCATTTTATCGTGTGACATTTCCCATTAGGGTGCCTCTTTACCATTCACTGATTTACATTTGAATGCAGGGTGACACAATGGAATCGATGGAGCTGTCGTCTCGCACCATCCTTCAGTTACAAGGTACTGTATCTTCATCTACGACTCTCTCCAGACTTTGGACTTGAGGACCAACATTACAAGGTATAATTGCCCCTCTCTACAGAGGCACCACGCACCATTCCATATTTTCAAGGCATAGCATCTACAAAGTACCAACGTTACATAGGCAGTTCCATGCATTTCGGAAGCCAAATGGTACAATAATCAACTATTGAGTGTCTTTTCAATTAAAATATGTAGAAAGAGAAAGAGGAAGAGAGAGAGGAGGAGAATTGTTTATGGCCAATTAAACTGTTCATTGATTATGTCGCAAAAGGTTGAGACAAGTGGATAATGACCAAAATGTTAATATTTTTTGTGGGTGAAGCATATGATACACCAGATGTTCAAAAATTCCCCGCCCCCCCTATGAAAAAGAGGAACAAGAAAAGAAAAAAAAAAGGTCAATCACTTGAGAATCATTTAGCCATCTGCCCTCTCTCCTTCTCCCTACTCTTTTATCTTCTGCACAATGAGGGCCTCGTGGTATCTCTCTCTCCTTTACACATGAAAGTATCTTATGTTACAAAAAACCCCTCAGGTAGATAGATAACCCTTCTCCACAAACTGCATCAGAAAAGAAATAAAACTCCGATCAATTGCCTGCAACTGACTTATTGGAAGATAATAAAGGGAACAGATAACCAACTAATATTAAACTTGGTGAGATCCCAACTACAAAGAATAACACTTCTTATGTTCTTGGAACTCTTGCTCTCACCATTTCTCAATCAGCAAAATCTGATTCAAATAGTCCTGCTTAAGTTGGCTCTGATCAACGCATTTTTGCTCTTTGCCATCTTTTCTTTTCATGGTGTGTCACCTCGCAGGAGATGGCTTGGAACCAATAAAGGGAGATTGCGCCTCATCTGAATCACTCCCTGATGAACTAGAGTCCGAGTCTGCAACAAGAACAATTTCCACTATCACTAAGAGACTCTCTCTCTAAATGAGGACTTCAGTCTCTAGAGGGGTGAGTTCTTACCACTTGACGAAGAAGAATCACTACTTGAGCTGCTCGAGCTGCTTGATCTGCTTCCATAGCCCACATCCTTCTCAATTTCAACTGGTGGGAAGTTTGTTGATGGCATGTCATCGCCAATGTCCACATCTTCTTCGGCTTGGTCCCCTGCTCATGAATTTATAAAACAATTTCGAGTTTCAGTATTTCCCGGAAGAAAGAGAGGGGCATTAGACGAAGAAAACCAAATGAAGGACTACAGCGAGAGAAGTAAACAACAGAAACAAACAGCTGAGATAGAACCCAAAACAAAACGACAAATAGCAGATATAGAGAACAGAGAAGAAAACATTAAAGGGGCATCCAATATAGAAACTGTGTATGAGATTGAGAGAGAGGGAGCCAAGCTGACAAAAATAAATTGAGAGAACCCAACTGAGGCGACACTTAAAGAGAGCACAAATATCAGAGTAGAGATAGACCTGAAATGAGAAAACTTGGATAATCCAAATAAAAAGAGTTGAAAATGAAAAGACCAACAGAGAGAACCCAAATGAGAAAAACGAGAGAGAGAAAACCAAGAAAAAAAAAAGAAGAGGGATAACCAAGATGAGAAAAACAGAGAGAACCCAAATGACAAAAAAGAAGAGTGAAGCCAAATCATGAGAGAAAGAGAGGAGAGACAAACAAGCAATGAGTAAAAGGGACGGATCAGAGTGGACCAATTACCTTTCTTGCTCTTCTTTGCAGCTGCAGCTTCAGGGGTGTCATGAACTGGAGACTGCCACAATTCAATTCAAGAATGAATTAGCAAAAACCCTAAAAGAAATCCGTGAACAAGAACACAAAAACTCAGAACCTTATACCACTTCCCCTACCTTTTCAACATCCACGGATGTACCCTGGTTAACTTGCTGCACCAGCATCGCCTGATCCTCCAGGCCCGCCTTCCTCTTGACCTTACTCATCATCTTTTTACAATTGCTAACAAACCTATCAAGCTCCCATAAGGTCTCTGTGTCAACAACATCAATATCAACCTCAATCTCATCCCCATCTTGAGCAAGATTCGAATTCCTCCTCCTTATGATCTGAACAACCTGGTCCATCTTCTCTTGAGGCAAATTCTGCAAACTTGTGCTAAGCTTCTGTTTCTCCTCAAAACTCATCTCTCTTTTGTTTGGGTCTCTTGCTTTCGGCTTGGGCTGCTTTCCAAGCTGAACAGGTCTAATCCCAACTAGGTTCCCCCCTCCTTTGGTCTTCACACTAGTGGGTGGCATCCATGGATCCAGCTTCTTTGAGCTTTGGGGTTGCCTCTTCTCTACTGGCATTGCAATTTCTGGCAAAGCTGCTGATTTTCGTACAGGAAACTCACCAGAAAAGGAATTCCGGCGAGCCTCCTCAACAGCCCTTCGCCTCTCCTCCTCATACCTATTAAAAGCAGGGTTCCACATCTCTTCGAAAAACCCTAGAAGCTGCTCAGCCATTATGTTCACATCATGGCCCTTGGGATTATATGTTAGGGCATTGTGGAAGGTGAGCCTCACATCAGCTGCAAATTCAAGTGGGGTTGAATAAAAGCTCTGGTTTAACCTAGTTTTCACAGTGCCAAGATCCATGGGGTTCTTGATTAGCGTATAGTAATCATGTAACCCCATTCCCACTACATCAACAGGGACATTAAAGACCCATCCATGCTTATGCTTCATGAGCTTGGTCAGAATTTGGCCGCACCTCTTCATGAAATCTGAGACCAATTTTCCAGTAACTGGATCAGGAGAAATTGCCATTCTTTTACCAGATTCAGAAACCTTTGTTACTGGATTTGGCCTCTTGGATCCACCAAAAACCTTCTTGTTCTCTTGTGCGGGCATCTTCTCTTTCCCCATAACAAACTCAGATGCTCTATAATACTGGTTTGCTTTAGGAGTTCTCTTCTCTTTTGGGCCATCAGCCTGTAAATCTAAGGCTTGGAGGTTCAACGGAGGTGGGCGACCAGAACCAGGGGTCTCTGGTTCCCAAAGAGAACGAGACTCGATCCGATTTGCTAGAGTTCTGACCTGTTCTAGCTCTAAAACGAGGCGTTTTCTTAGGTCCCTTAGGTCTTGTTTAGAGTAAGAACCAACATTGTAGGTGATGTAGTGGTCTGAAAATTTTGCAGAGGCCTGTAATTGGGGTTCCTTTCTATTGAGGCTAATGGATTTTCGATTAAGAGAGGAGGAATCAGAGGAGGCGGCTAGGGTTGTCAGTACAGGTTCATTGCCATGAGGGGGGAGCTCGAGGTTATGATGGTGGGGGTGAGAATCTAGGGTTAAGGTTTGCTTAGGGTTTGGGGCTTTCCTCATATAAACCTTGCGGTCCCCCCAATAAGTGGACTCATTCTGGCTTGCCAAAAGAGCAGAAGCCATAAACGCAGAGCTCTGGATCAGGGTGGCATTCGGTTGCCGAGCATAGAGAGATCCAAGAGGCGGATTTTGGGGAGAGAGAGAGACAACCAGAGGACTTAGAGAGAGATGGCCAGAATTAGGGTTGTCTCGGGGATTCGGCCCGAATCAGATTAGGTCGCCGGAAAATTTCGCCGGAAAAAGGAGAAACTTTAGAGGGAGAAAGGCCGGAAAAAATGGCCGGAAGAGAGAGAGAGAGGGGAGAGGGGTTGTGGGGGGCAGATGAAACCCTCACCTCGGTGATGAAAAATGGGTAGGGGGCACCGCCTTTTTAAAGGCAGCAGATCTGCCCGTCTCTCTCTGGGGAGCGTTGGTGGGCCGTCGATGTTCTCCTACCCGAAAACCTGACGGTTCAGATGGATTACGCGCTACCCGGGGTGGCTGACCGTCCGATCTGTCACGGACGGCTGAATTTTAGGAAGCGGTACACGCGTGTCCTGCTCCACCGTCGGTTACGGTAAAAGAGGGACTTGGGGGTGAGGGTGCATTTAATTTCGGATGGGTTTGGGGGAAATTTGAGTTTGATGAGAGGTGCATTTAGGGCTCGTATTTGTTTCTCTCTCCAATTTCGAATCTCCTTTCTCTCACTAAAACTCCCAATTTCGCATCTCTCTCTCTAGAAAATCCGCCGGTCCCAATCTCGTTTCTCACTTCCTCCATATCCCTCTGACTTTCTCTAAATGAAATTTCCCCATGCTTCTTCTCTCCCATCGTCTCTCTATCTCAACTTTGCCTTCTTTCTCTCTCTACAAAATCCCCCGTTCCCACTCTATAAATTGCCCAAGTTCCAATCCTTTGCCTCTCTACGTCCCTGCTCCCAACCCGTTGTCCCTCTTTCTTTCTCTATGAGACCCCCATCCCTCAGGCCAGTCTCTCTCTAAACGACATACCCATCCTTCATTTTCTCTCTCTAGAAGCCAGATCCAACCTCGCCTTCTCCCCTCTTCATTTCCTCTCTAGAAGCCAGATCCAACCTGGCCTTCTCCCCTCTGTTGATCTCCATCTATGGATCTCTCTCTATGGATCTCCATCTTTCTCTCTCTAAGTTCCTCCCGACCTTACCACTTTCTCTCTCTAAACCAGAGAGAACCTCGTCTCTCTCTCTCCAAGCCTCCCAAAGTAGCATCTTCAGAGCACCAGTTCCGGATCTTGCATTTTACCTCTCTAAGCCCGACTCAGGCCTGCAGCCACCAGTTTTCGCCGCTGCCGGTCTCCGGTAGCATCGCTGCCACTTTCTCTCTCTATAAAATAAGTGAAGTTTTTCCCGCTCTCTCTACGTCTGTCTGCTCCCCTTCCCGCTGCAGTGGGACTCACAAATTTGCTTTACCCGGGAAAGTGGGTCCCACGCAGTTGCATACGTGGCTATACCGTGTGCGTTCCGCCAGCTGGCTCGTTGCTGTCGAAATATCTTTAATTATCTTTTTTTTAAAGAGGTGCAGGTTTTAATGTGGACACCCACATTTTTATTGTCCATCCTAACCTTTAATGATTCCACCCACTTCTTTAGCGGATGGTTCCCACTGCTGTGGGGTGGATTAGTAAAATAGAGGGTGGGAAAATTAAGTTGGGGAATTGATTAGGGTTTTTGGATGGAAAGGGAATCTTTCGTCCTCCCGCCAAATATTTTGGGCTTGCCAGGTCAGCGCCGTAATGCGATGGCAGTTTCCGGGAAGCGTTGGGGCGTCAAAATTGGGCGTCAGAAAGGAGCTTGTTGACGCCTCTCTCTCTTTTTCTAGAAGGAAGAAGGACGGTGGATTAAAATGAGTTTTTGACGGCCATCGGGCGTCGTATTCGTCGGAAATATCGCCAAGCGCTGGAATGGAAATTAAGAGTAGCACCCCGTGCGAACGGAGACCCGAAAATTTTGGGACCCGACCGAAAAAAAAATAAAAATGATATATATTTAAATGTTAGGTTAAATATATTGAAAATTATATTACGAGATTATTTACCTTGATATAAGATGGTCACAATTAATCTTCACTATTGGATGTCAAATTGAGTGGTTATTTTTTATAATTGGGATTGTCTACAAAGATATTATTTATCCTAGGACAAGTTTTTAATGCTTCTCATACAGCATAAAGCATAAACTTATATACTTCTTTTTATCCAACCATTCATTCTGAATGGAGGGTTATGATTGCCCCAATCATAATGTCACGTCTCTACACTATTTTATTTTGAGTGTTTTTTCTATAAACTATTTTGACACTAAATTTTGGACGTCCAATCTTCTATTAAACTCACACTAGTAAAAAAAAAAAAAAATATTTTCAATAAAATACAATAACCTAAATACCCCTGAAAGTTTCAAAGGGTATTTTGGTTATTATATTTTATCAAAAAATTATTTTTAATATTTTTTATAGGTGTGCCCCAATGAGAAGATGGCACGTACCAAATTTCATATTCATAAAATTTGTATAAAAAAACTAAAAATAAAATACTTTGAGATGTCGGATCTAAGATCAAAGGATGAGTGGCTCTCTTGATCAAAATTGAACGGCGGGATGGTAGGGGAAGCATAGATTTTCTATGTTGTAGGGGAAAGTATAGAAACTTTTTCTTTTATCTTATGTACATAGAGATCATAATCATTCCTACTCATTAAATGTCAAATTGGATTGTTTGAGATGAGTCATTTAGTGAATTTGTTTTTTTAGAACTTTGTGTATATTGAATGACACATTACAATCACCCATTTGGAATTTATGGAGACAAGAATGATTGTGACATCCATGTACATACGATAAATGGTCTTTTGTAGACAACCCCTTATAATTTGTATTCAACAAATTTTGTACACTTATATATCCTTATTTTGTACATGAATTAATTTTAATAAAAATATTTTTAGTCATTAAGAGGGCATGAGTGTAAATATGAAGCACACTAGCGGCATTTAATACGGGTGATGAGGGTTATTAGTGTCTAAAATTTGTTGAGTAAAATTATAAAAAACAAAACAAAGGTATATTAGTGTCCAAAATTTGTTGACTACAATTATAGAATGTTTGTGTGAGCACCATAACATAATCTTTATTTAAATATTATAATTAAAATGCATAGTCATATTTATTTAAATTTTAATTAAATATTATTAACATTATGTTTAAAATATTATGGATACATGTAGACGCATCATTTTGTGAACTGGCAAATTTGATGGTTTTCTTAACCATAGACATCCTTAAGACCATACGATCCCAGTAAACTCCCAGGCCATAGACTATTGCTTGCCTTATGGTCTAGAATCGTGTAGAACACTCTGTTTTGGTAAAACGCCTCATTTGATCTGAATTTTGGCAGGCAACATCCCAACATCCCCAAAATGAGCCAGACAAAGAATCTGCTGATTCCGAGCAGATTTGGTCTGAGCGACACCAACTTAGACTGACCCAAATCGATTGATTTTTGGGAAGCAATCCCAACAGCCCAAAAATCCCCCCAGACTGGAATGTGCCAATTTTGAACAAATTTGGTTTGGGCGATACTACTGGTATCACTTAGTTCTGACTGCCTCGAATTGGCAGTTTTCGCATGCCAACCCCTCTCGGATCATTAATGGCTAGGTTCATTGAACCTAGTCCATTTTGGTCCGGGCGACACCTTGGACCATAGAACGACAGTCCAAGTTGGGAAATCTTCTGGTTATTGTTTGTTACCCATTCTAGATGATTTTCAGCTTATAAAAAGATCATTTCGAGTTTATTTAGGGGGTTAGACCTTATTAGCTTGGGTACCGTTTTGAGATTTTGAGACCTGAAAAAAATCTAGATCTAGGAAAACTTTAGCTTTAGGCCATCAGAATTCCATTCGCCTATGCCAAGGCTTAGTCAAAACGTAAAGAGAAACAAATATGATGTACGACATAAACTCAGTCAGTCCTGATATGGACGAGGCCTCGAAGCTTCGGGAGCCCCGGGCCAATTGGCCTAGTCTGGTACTTTTTTACTCTTTCTTGTATTTATTTTTATTTTTGTTTATTTTATTAGAATTAAATTAGTTTTATTGTGTTTTACGTAGTATTTCACATTTCGGATTGATGCTGGCTCTGCCACTGATTTGATAGCAGATCTCCTCATTTATGAGTAGATTTGGGATCATATCAAAATTTGATTGTCCCCACTTTCTATCATACTTTTAAAAAATCAGTTTGTGGTACGGATATGAGGGATCTTCCTTTGAAGATCTTTTCGATTTGCATCGTAAAAAATATAGTAATACTATTCGGGTCGGGTCCACATGGACCTGGACTCGGACCCAAATAGTGTTCCGGTCTAATATTTGGACATGGACCTGACTCGTTGGGTCCAATTCTTATACCCATACTCAAACCTGGATTGGGTCTGGGTCCATTGCCACCCATACTTGAAATGTAAATAAAGGAAATTGAAGGAAGGAAGAACAAAATCCACAAAAAATAGGAAGGATAGGGAAAAGTTTATATAGAGCCGAGGTTCATAACAATCAAATTTGAGCTTACTTCAAAACTTTCACTATAAGAGGTTGTTTTGACGCCCAAATATCTTCAAATTGATCATCTCGATATCAAGATGCATGGATATGAGAAAAAAATGGATTTCAAGTTTTGGAAATAGTGCATTTGAAATGCATTTTTGGAGCGTCAATTTTCAATATTTTCGAGTGTTCATACATATGTCAATCTACGCTATTTTTGAAGCTTTAAACTTTATGAATAAATATAAAAATATATTTTAAGGCTATCACAAAGATTTCCAGTATTGAAACCACATTTCTCGATAGTATTTGAAGATAGGCTCTAATTTGATTGTTTAGAGCCTAGGCTCTTTACAAACCGCACCCTTAAAAATATGGATAAGTGATCCCGAGAAAGGCATTCCTAGGTTGGCAGATCGTGATCTGGATTAGTGAACATGCCAATAATTTTTTTAAAAAAATTAGAGAATAATTTTTTTAAAAACTATCTTTTAAAAAAAGGGAACAAACCAATGGGTTCTTCCCCCGATTTTTAAACCTTGGGAAGGACTTAATGAAAGAAATACTAAGGAATTTTATTGGAAAGGTTTAAATTAGGCTATATACTTCAATCCAAAGGCAGTCCTTTTCAAAAGTCGAAATTTTAAGGAAAATTGTTCCATGCTTTAGGGATGCCTTTCTACATTTGCGTTGCCGCGGTATAAATGGGTGGTCCATTTAAAAACAGTTGAAACTTACCGTCCATATGTTTTCTTCATAAAATTAATATTTTAATTTTTAAA